TTTCTTGGTTTTATTTCTCATTTTCCATTTTCCATACATTTTTCGTTGCTCTCGTTTTGGTTTTCGTTTTCTTAATTTTTTTCAGCATGCTGCCCTCATAAATTTTCGGGGGAGGCAAACAAAATGTTTGTGGTAAAGTTTTCTTTGGCGAGGGCTTTGTTAGGAAACGATCGATGGTAGTTAATTCCATGTTTACCCATGCTGTTGATAAAAAAAGGTTGCTTTGCATTTTAAAGCCTGAAAAATCTAAAAATTAGCTACAATAAAATTATATTTTTCAGCTTTGGAGGTGTTATGCTAATAAAACCATACATATATTTTCCCTTATGAAATTAGCTAACAATATTAAATACAAATTTAATAGAATACTTATTTGTTCTAGACTTTTTTTTTTTTTAATTTAAATTTACTTTCTTTATTTAAAAAAAAAAATGTTTTTTCTTGGCCTGATTAAATTTAATGAATATGAAATAAAAATTTGATGTAATATTTATTAGCTGTAGACTTTTTTATTTATTTTAAAAATATTAAAATTGATATTTACTTTATTTTACTTTTTTAAGTTCTTTGTTTACTTAATCCGATTTAATTTCCTCTCCATTTTCCCCGTTTTATTTGCGCCATTTGGTTTTAACTCACTGCGGATTCGCTGAGATTAAATTTTTCAATTTTTGGTACCATTTATTTCAATAAAATTAAGCCAGAAGTTTTTGCAGTTAAACCCAAACTTCCTTTTGCGATTTCTCTGCTTTTGGTTAGCTTAACGGCCTTCCGCCTCCTTTGACCACCACCCATTTCTTTTGTGTCCCGAGCAACAGGTCCTCTCATTTGCTGGGATTTCTTCTTATTTATCTGTCTTCTTCTGTATTATTTCCCATTTTTTTGCCGCATTATTTTTGAAACCGAATAAAAGTGGTCGTCCGAAAGGCTTTTTGCATTGTGCTGAAATTTTCCCAGCGATTTCCCGTGGAATGTGAAACTAATTGCAGCTGGATTTGGGTTGCTGGCTGGTGGAAAACGCACTGGCATACAACTAATCAGAACGGAAAAAGAGCAGAAAATTCTGGAAACGGGAATGGGTTTTTCTGGCGGGGGAAAAGCCAAAAGAAAAACGATTTCAATAAATGTCATAAATTTGCCCGACAACTTTACAAAAGGGCGGGGGAAGTGGAAAAGTAAAGGAAATGGCTTTTTCCCCACCCCTCCTCCCTGATTATCGTCTGCTTTGCTGTCGGCTTGTAATCGCTTTCATTACAGCAGAAAAAAAAGGAAAAAAATGGGGAAAAATACAAAAAGAAAACTGACCAAAAATAATAAAATAAAAATAAAAAAGCAGAGCGAGAAAGGAGGTAAATGCAAAATGCCATGAAAATGGAAAACCAACATGGCCATTTCCACAATGAAAGAGACGGCCAGATAAAGTACTGCTTTCACTTTTTGGCTTCTCCTCTCGCCAGTAATTTATTTGATTATATTTTTATTTCTTATTTATAATGATGAATTTAAACTGCTGTCCGGTAGAGAATAGATCTTTTATAAATATCTTAACCACTTTACTGCGGTTTCGTTCGGGGCTTTTCTTATCTTTTGTGTACATTTTTCTTTCTACATTGCGGCCACTGCAGAAATTTGGGCCACAACAAAGCCAAAGATGTAAAGTGAAAAATCTCATTTATATATATAGGTATATGTGTTTTGTGTATCATGGGAGCTGTCGGCTATATATGACCTGATTGCGGTTCCGAGTCTTCCAAGTAAATGTGCGTTTCGGGAAATGATGAAAACTATGGCAATTAGCTGGAAGAGTATGTTGATTTGGAAATATCAAGGGAACATTGTTAGCACTTCTAGTTTCACAGAGAAAATTATACAACGTTTTAGGTGCCGTTTTCATATAAAAACGTTTTAAAAATAAAAATGAAAACGTTTTAAAAATGCAAAGTAAAATAAATTTGTATGAAACGTTTTACTTTTTAAAATGTTTCATCCCTTATTTTGCACCTAAAACTTTTGATAATTTTCTCTGTGTTCATATTAAAAAAGAAAGACTAAAGGCCTAAAGCATACAAATGTTATTTTGTATTTAATTGTGTATTTTTTTGTAACAACCAAAAAGTTATGATCAATTTAGGCACTTTTGCAGCGAGTAAATCCCCAAGGTAAATCGATTGACAAAATGTATGTACATATATGACATATCATATCCCGCTGGGCATTTATTTAGTTTTGCCAAATTGCTCTATGATTTCATATCATGTTTGGCATTAAAATGCACTTGTTTTTTTGGTACGCAAAATATCCATTATTTGCCTACTTTGTGTGCGAAATATTGTACTATTTAATAGCCAGACTGCATTGTCAACGGAAATTAGTTCGAAATTGTGTCTAATCTTTTGTGTATTATATACAAAGTATTTGTTTTTTTGTTGTATACTGAATATATATATATTTAGTGAAATTACACAAAAATCCATTACTAAAGGTGGGCTGCGCTGTCGCTGCGACGCTGAGATGACGGCGACGTTGACGTCAACCTTCGCAGCAAACTAAAAGAATTTGGTTCAAGTGCCAAATGAAATATTGACTAGGCAACGAGGACTGCGAAGATGAGACACTGAGACTGTGAGGATGGGAGACTGGGAGAATGAGAATCTAAGAATCTTAGAATCTGGGCATATGGCGGCGCGTGTGTGACCAGCTCCTCCCAGTCAACCCAATCGCCAACGCACATCGCCTTGTTGCTCTCTAAAATAATAATAATAAACATGGCAAATATTTATTCCTTATAGACCATAGACTATAGACTACGCGGTAGCAAACGGGCTCTATGGTCTTGCCTCGCATTTTATTGAAACATAAAGATAATTAAGGTGTCTGGTGCGCAGATGGTGCCATTTGGCTTCTTTATTTTTATGATTTCTCTTAATTTCATGTTGATTAATGACGACTGTTAGTAGACCTACTGGGCACAGCGATAACATTGCTGTACTATTGGCTTTTAACTTTCCAAAAAAACTTACTTAGTTACTAAAAATCCTGGAAGTTTTGATCCGTTTTAATCAAAGGTTTTTGAAATGATAAATTAAAATTGAAAAATATTTATGTTACAAAATATATACATTTTTAAAAAATATATTTATTAAAATATTTACATTTCTCAACAAATATATATATTTAAAAAATATATATTCCTTTAGTAACAAAATGTATTTAAACAAAAACGTTTTTAAAACCAACAACAATTTTTGTTTACCATTAATGTACAACATTATTCAACAAAATGTAAATTTTTTAACAATTTTTTAAAAAAGTAACGAAGAAATTTACTTTTGAAGTAATAAAATTTATTGATGTGTTTAAAATAAAGGGGTTTAAAGCCACGAAATATTTATTAAATATTTACCTATGTATAATATTTTTCAACAATATATAAATGCTTTAACATTTTATAAAAACAGTACAAAAAATGTAATTTTTAAGTAATACAATTTCTTAAAGTTTTTAAAATAATGTTTTTTAGGCAAAAAAATATGTATTAAATATTTGTGTATAAAAACACTGTATTCTTAACGAAGACAAATTTTAAGTTTTTTTTTTTAACAGATTTATAGAGGGTGTCTTAATAGTCGATTGAGGATACTTTCCAAGTTCCTCGCGTGTTTAGACTGCGAAGCATCCGAGTGGCTCGATGTTGCTGGTGGGGTGTTGCTGTTGCGCCCGATGTTGCTGCCGTGCTGATGTTGCTGTTGCTGTTGGCACTGTAGTTGCGACAACTACATAAACAGCTGTCATGGCCCTGCGACCGCTGCAGTCGCTGCTTTTCTCTGCTCTGCTCCTCAGCTTTTCGCAAGCGTTTCTCCTTCTCCCTCTGCCCCTTGTTCCTTTCTCTTTTTCTATCGGCCTCGTGGCGTCTGCTTCTTTCTAATAATAAATTGCCAAAGAATTTGTGTTTGCCTGCAGCGGCAAACATGTCTGCTTTTTATTTTATTTTATTTTGCATGCCTGCCTGCTTGTCGAGCATCTTAAAGGTGCAATATCCAAGTCATTTTTCACTTTCACTTTCCCGGCCTTTGTTTTTCTTGCCTTGCCAGCGATAATCAGCTTTAACATAATGTGAATTTTTGAGCACTCGGGGGAATTCGTGTTCCCTACAAACTTGCATGGTTTATAAGCGAAAACGAAAATTCAAGAAAATGGGGAAAATAAAATATGTGGGTATAAACTATACAATTTTTAAAATATTAAAGATAAAGATGTTTTTATTTTTTTGATAGTTTTAATATTAGGAGTAGTGATACTCGTAGAAAACTTATTCTAATAGAAATGTTTCCCCACACACAAAAAAAAGCACGTCGCCGTAAAATCGATAAGTCCAGGTAATTTTCTGGTTATTCCTACTCATATCGTTTTTACCTGAAATATTCATAAAATTTACATTAAATAATATCATTTTGCCGAATTCTCTCTCTCGGAGATTCTCTAACTTCGAAAAAGAGCGCAAGAATCAATATGGCGAGCAAAATGACATGAGTGGAAGCGAGAAAGACGTATTCGAAATTCGAACTGACGAACTTCAAGCATGTTTTCTCGCTCGCACTAAAATACGTTTTGGTCAGGAATAATGCAAATTTTCGTTCTTACATTTTCGACCATATCACATTTACCTGGCCCCATATCAAGTTAAAAATGATCTTAAAAAAGGTCAAATTGACCTACGATTCATATCGATTTTTTTTTGGGTGCATAGCAAAAAAAAAACAAAAATTCAAGAACAAGAAAAAAATGTTAAAATTCTAGAATTTTTAAAGATCATAGTGAAGATCAAGAGTTTTTTTTCTTTGCAGACTACTTTAATATTATTAGAATTTCACAACTTTAAGAGTCGAGATACGCAATCATGATTGTAATAGTAAAATTACTTTATAGACGGCTAAATCTAATATTAAAGAAAAAAATGTATAAATTGTATAATTTTTAAAATTAAAGAATTAAGATACATGTTTTTTTTTTTGGAATGCATTAATATTATTTGGCATACACATCAAGCTTAAGAGTCGTAATGCGCATCAATTAGTAAACAATTACTCCATAAGCCTTCTCTCCAGGTAAAGCCGCCAGGTGATCATATCATCGGTCATCATAAGGTAGATCGTGCACCAGGAGAGCATCTGTTCCAGGGCCAAACAGAAGATAAGACAGTAGGCGACGAGGAGAAGGACCATTAGGTTCATCCAGACTTCCTCATCCCACACATGTACGGTTGTCTTGGACAGCAGTTCGAAGTTATGGGCGAACTTGAGGCAGCAGAACAGGATCCAGGGCAGCATCAGTAGGAAGAACCCCTTATTTTCCTTGTGCCAGCGATTCGGGTTCATCAGGCGGGGCACCATTGTCAGGATGGTCAGCACCAGGGACACAATGGCGGGGCCCAGGATATTCGGATAGAAGAACTTTGCGCTGTTTATGCGCTTAGGGTAACCCAAGCGTGATTCCAAGGTGACCAAAGGAGTCACACTGATCGCCGTTAGAAGCGCCGTTCCGTAGATCAGATGCGCCAGGTTCCCACGAGTCATATTTAGGACCATAATCACAACTGCAAGAAACCAAATTATAACTGCTTAAATAAATCACAATAATTACTGAGCACGACGACGGAATTTAGTAGTTATTCGTTTCGTATATGGAGTTCTTTTGAAGTTTGGTCCTATGGCCTACTTCAATGTGAAATATGGGGCAAGGTGACAATACCTATGGGTAATGGGATCAGAAAAATTAGCAAAATGTAACTTAACTTTAACTTATCCCTTAAGTCGTATTTTAAATATTTATTTTTATAATATTTAATACAAAATTAAATGATACTTTTATTTGTCCTAGTTTTGGCTTTTTCCTTTTGCATAAATTAACTATTTTTTGCAGTTAACACTTACTATCAGAATGACTAAAATCGTAGGAATTTGGGTTTAATTAAATGAGTTGAAATATTTTTATATTCAAATATATATAAATATATATATGTCTGTATATATATATATATATATATATATTTCATGTATTTTAAATAAAACAACAGCTTAATTACACACCATATATTTTTTAACAATTTTTTAAGTATAATAGACTTACAACAAAATCTTAAAGATTTTTAAGAAAAATTGTAAAATAATTTAAAAATATTTTTAAGAAATCAAAATTGTATTTTTAGAGATTCGCTAGACAATTTGATTTTTAATATCATTGTTTTTTTGGGCAGCCGTTTTGATTTCCGTTTGTGTCCTTTCGGCTGACTGTGGAAATTCTAGAAAATGTGTGTCGCCGAAAAGTTTTCGTCATCCTCCAGATCGCGAATGCTCTTAATTGAATTCGTTTGTGAGCAGCAAGAGAAATATGTGGGAAAAATAAAATAAAATAATATTTGAATTTCCCATTCGCAAATTGTGCAAGTTGTACGTGTTTGTTGCTGTTTTTGCCCTAATTGTTGTTGCTTTCGCCGCCGAGGACAGAACATTGGGAAAGTGGGAAAAATGAACTGAGCTGCAGAAAGTTTTTCCTTTCCGTTGAGCGTTTTTCAATTGCTCGAAAACTATTTTACTTACGTTCAACTTTCACTTACCAATGGTGGCAAACTTTCCACGGTAACTGTATGCCAGCGAGGGGGGTCAAGGGAGGAGGGACACAATATATTGTGGTGCCCAAAATAATAGATCAAAGTACTGGCTTTACAAAATCACATATAATTGGGGGTATTCGATAAAAAATTTAAAGTAGGTACTTTAATTTCTAATTGAAGAGCAGAAAAATGCACTCTGCATAATAGTTTTCAACGACACTATCAAACTGTGTAACAATTATTGTTGCACATATATTAAATGTTTAAAAATATATTATAAAAATAAAATAAAACTGTTGAAGAAAAAAATGGTCGAGTTTGTGCACTTGTATCGTACGGTCGTGTTAAGCTCCTAATTAGCAATCAGAGAGTGATCCTCAACTTCTTCTGTTGTGCTTATCAGCGCGTTATCTATTTTTAGACTCCGTTACGCCGGGGTCTTTACCGAGTCCGACTTATTTACCACCCGAGCATAGTGTAAGCGTTGTGTACGACTTTGCCCATTGGGCTCGGTCTTGTCTCTCGCTTGCGCTTGCACTGCCCAGCGAGAGATAAGAAGTAAAGACTTTTGAAGATTTTGAATTTGATTTCTATTATTTTCGTAATCGAAAATTATAGTAAATTAATAAATGGATGAGAACACACCTTCTTATCCGCCGCTCCCGAAAGAGCCACCCGGATTTGAGAAGATGAGGGAAATCGCTGGCCAATCACCAGCGGAACTTCGAACCAAGCTTGTAAAAGACTTGGCTCAACGGCAATTGGATGCCCTTCGACAACGAAATGCAGATGCTGTTAAGACCAGCTCAGCAACACCTGTAACTAACACCGTTACAGCTACGAGTGCCAGTTCTGGCACCACCACGTACACCGTTGCAGCTTCCTCATATACCAGCCCAGTTTCTACAGCAGGAACGTCTCTGTCTTTGGGAGCTAACAATCTCCCGATATTACCCGCTACCGGGTGCTCGTTTCAAGCACCTAGTACTACTCGTAGCAGGAAACGAAACCCTCCAAGCTGCGGTAATGAAAGAGACGACATAAAGAAGACAAAGGCAAATGTAAACAATGCCAAATTGTCAATTTAAATCAGGCTTCGACCTCCAATGGACTTCGCAACAACCGCTTCGCACCTTTGGCTGAGGAATCGAACCCAATTGAGGAGATGGAGACAAATGAGGAGACGAACGATCCCATTGACCAAGCGCAAATTCCAAGCCAGAAACCTCCACCCATATGTGTTCCAAAGGTCACTGATATCCTCACTCTGGAACGAACCCTTGATGAAATCATTGCAGCAAGTAGTTATGAGATTCGTACATCTAAATTCGGAATTACTCGCATATACACTGACAGTGCAGAGTCATTCCGCAAAGTGGTTCGTAGCCTGACTGCTTTAAATTGCGAGTTTTGGCATCATCAACTCCGTGAGGACAAGCCATTTAAACTGGTGCTAAGGAACATACATTCCACAGTTCCAAAGGAGGAAATAGAACGTTGCTTCACGGACAAAGGTTTCAACGTAGTGAATATTTACTGTCCAAGAAAGCCTGGCACGCGCGGCACTACGGCCGACGTTAATGTTGACGATAGACAAAATCTGTTCTATGTCAATCTGAAGATGACTACGAATGTCGCCGAGTCGCTTAAAATCAAACAAATAGGAAGGCACCGAGTTACAGTGGAAAAGGCTACCCGAAATAAGGACCTCGTCCAATGTTACAAATGTCAAAATTTTGGCCACACTCAAAATTGTTGCTTCATAAAGCCTGTGTGTGGGAATTGTGCCGGAGATCATCCTACCAACTCAAAATCGTGCGAGTCAATCCTTAACAATCAATGTATGTGTGCAAACTGCGGAGAAAATCACCCTGCAGGTTTTAAAGGCTGCAAAGTCAGGATGGAACTAAGCAGGAAACACAAATCTGCAATAAGGCTAAGCAACTCAACGAACAGCAGGACCAACGAAAGCCGACACGGTCAACTATTCTCCATGTCAGCCACCAGAGATGGCGTCTCTTATGCAGACATGGCAAGGAATAACCTTCCGAGCACCAGCGCTACAGCTACGCAGTCTTCTGCACATATACCTGGAGGCGACCGCAACCCCAACAAAAATTTGTCTACCTTGGAGAAGGCAATATTCGATATTAACACTAGGCTGGATCAACTCTTCAAACTAGTCATGGAAACGATTGAGTCGAACAAGGCTTTTCGCGATCTAGTTCAGGTTCTAATTTCTAGAAAATGACAGTCTCAACAATAAAAATCGGATTATGGAATGCAAGAGGTATAGTTCAGAAAAGTGAAGAACTTCGTCTTTTCCTTATTGATAACTCAATAGACATAATGCTCATTACCGAGACACACATGCGTCCCGGTCTTAATTTGTACCTTCCTGGTTATGATCAATACTTTGCCAATCACCCTAGCAACACCGCTAAAGGCGGCTCTGCTATCCTTATCAAGACCAGCATTATCCACACGCAGAGTGAGCCCACAACGCGAACAGACTTACAGCTAGCTTGCATTGAAATTCTAACAAATGGGGGTGTTGTTAAAATAGCTTCTCTGTATCTTCCTCCCAGCGAGCCTTGGACAAAAAACAATTTTGACCAGCTACTAGTCTCTCTAGGCCCAAAGTTTTTGGCTGGAGGCGACTTTAATGCCAAGCATCAATGGTGGGGAAATTTAAGATCCTGCTGCCGGGGAAAGCGTCTTCAAGAGGCCATAGTTTCTAGCTCAAGCCAAGTTCTAGCTACTGGGGAACCTACCTTTTATTCCTCAAATACCAGGCTCACACCAACAGCTCTTGACTTCTTCATCGTAAATGGGGTACCACTCAACAAACTTTCGATCGAAACCAAATATGAACTATCCTCGGACCATCTGGCAATTGTCGCAACGCTAAGCCAAATACCGCAATGCAAGGCCAAAAGAAAATCTCTTCTACCGCCCGGCTCCTCTGTTGAAAAGTTTAAGGAATCCCTGGACAGAAGCATTAACCTCAACGCTGTCATCAACCATCCAGATGATCTTGAAGCTGCGGTAGCAGCCTTCATGGAAAATATATACACAGCTGCGACAGCTGCTAGCCCGAACCAAAGGCACCCTCCGAACCAAAGCAGAAGCAATCTGCTCCCACAAAATGCTCTAGTTCTCATACAGCTTAAAAGAAGAGTCCGCCGAGAATACACAAGAACAGGAGATATTCGCGTCTACAAGGTTTATAAAAGATTGTCAAATCGGCTAAGCAAAGTCTTGTCCATGAACAAGCAAGACCACATAGACCAGATGTTGGAGAATGCGAGCCCAGATGCATCGACCAACTACTCCTTGTGGAAACTCACAAGCCGATTCAAGAGACAGGTCACCCCAAAGGCTCCTCTCAGAAATCCCACTGGTGGTTGGTGTGGGTCAAGTCAGCAGAAGGCGGATATCTTTGCTGATAATCTAGAGAACAGATTTAAGCCGCTAGATCTTACTCCGATGGAAAATCGAATGCTTGTGGAAATGCAACTGGACAGACCTTTCCAAATGGCTCTTCCCTGTAAGCCTGTAACCCTGGAAGAAGTCAAGGCACAGATCGGAAAGCTCAAAAACAAAAAAGCACCAGGAGAGGACCTTCTAGACAATAAAACACTAAAAATTCTTCCCATCAAGGCACTACTATTTATAGTCCTGTTGTTTAACAGCGTCCTAAGGATGAGTCATTTCCCAAGTGCATGGAAGAATGCTATCATCACGATGATACCCAAGCCTGGAAAGCAACCCACTGAAGTAGATGCATACAGACCAATTAGCCTCTTACCTGCACTGGGCAAAATGATGGAAAGAGTCATACTGAATCGGATCCTTGGACAAGAAAGAGTAAGCAGAGCTATTCCAAAGTGGCAGTTTGGATTTCGAAAAAGTCATGGCACACCTGAACAGCTACATCGCGTGGTCAATTTCGCTCTGGAAGCCATGGAAAACAAAATGTACTCAGTTGCAGTGTTCATGGACATTCAACAAGCCTTTGATAGAGTATGGCACGACGGTCTTCTAAGCAAGCTGAAGAGCCTCCTTACGCCTCAGCTTTTTCTCCTCATTCAGAGCTTTTTAGCTGAAAGAAAATTCAGTGTGGTTGTCGATGGAGAAAAGTCGTCAAAACGCCCAATCTCAGCTGGTGTACCCCAAGGCAGTGTACTAGGTCCAACACTATACTCTCTATACACATCAGATATGCCAGATTCCTGGGTCTGTACCGAAGTCGACGATGATAATATGCTGATCGCAACTTACGCCGACGACACTGCTGTTATGGTCAGAAGTCCAAGCATGGAAATCGCAACCTTGGGCCTGCAAGAGTATGTGACACGTTTTGAAAAGTGGACAACAGAATGGAACATAGGCATCAACTGCAGCAAATGTGCTTGTGTCACATTCTCCACAAGGCCAAAAGACTGCTCAGGAATCTCCATGCTTGGTTCTGTACTTCGTCACGAGGCCTATTACAAGTACCTTGGTGTGATTTTGGATAGAGGACTCACTTTTCAGAGACACACAACCATGATCAAGCAGGCTGTGCTTTCAAAGGCAGCAAGTATGTCCTGGCTTTTATCACCAAGAAATAAGCTCTCACTGTCCAATAAAGTGAGAATCTATAAATCTATTCTCAACCCAATCTGGAAATATGCATTACAAATCTACGGCATAGCGTCAAAGTCAAATCTGAACAAAATAAGAGTAGCGCAAAGTAAGATTGTTAGATCGATTTGTAATGCCCCCTGGTTCATGAGAACTAGAGATATAGAAAGAGATCTCAAAATTCCAAAGATAGGCGATGTCATACGAATGCACGCAGAAAAGCACTATAATCGCCTTGGCTCTCATCCAAACTCCCTAGCGAGGAGATTAATATGGAGACCTACAAGAAGAAGATTGAAAAGATACCACCCACATGACCTTCCTTTAAGATCCATTTAACCGTTTAAAGCTTAAAATTTAAAATATAAATAATATAAAGTTAATGTATAAACATCTATACCCACATTTTGTTATTCCCTGTAATTTACAACCTGCTCAAGCTGCCACATAGGTAGCAGTATACCTGTTATTGTTGAATAAATATAAACCTTTTTAAAAAAAAAAAAAAAAAAAAAAAAAAAAAAATGGTTAAAATATAACTAAATTGTTTTGAATATTTATTTAAATAAGTTATAATTACTTATATAAATTTATTAAAAGTTTCAACGAAAAAAAATTACAAATAAATTATTTGAATATTTATTTTTATTATAAATAATACAAATTCTTAAAAGGCTTTGATTTTGTCTTATTTTTGTCCTATTTTTATGACCACAGCTGTCGGCACGATATGTGTCTGCCTGTCTGCATCGTTTTCCACTGCGAGATATTAATTAATAATTGAAATAACTGAGCTCGTTATAAAGTAAGGCACTTTCGGGCACGAAAAACGAAATACCCAGGCACAAAAACACTCCTTACTTCTTAACCACCCCCCGGGGCATCCGTGTGTGTGCAGCTGTGTGTGTGCAGTTTCAAGTTTAATTTAAAGTTTAGTTGTAATTTTGAACATTTTTCGTTGCGAGGGCAATTAAAAATTCAACGCGCAATCTACAAAATGAACCCCCCAAACGAGTCGTTGGCAAAAAACGGCAAAAACGGCGGCGGCGGAAAAAATGTGAAAAAATTTTTTCCAGCCTGGAGGAGTCATTTGGCAGCTTTCCGCGACTCTCTATTTATTTATTTATATGATCTGCCTTAATTCTCGCCACACAAATAAATGATGAACATTTTCCGCTTAATCTTTTGCAGAATAATCTGAAGTGGATGGTTGGATAGTCGGGAAAACTAAGGACTGGCAAATTAAAAAATAAATGGCGCATGATTAACAAACGGTCTGCTGCTCGTCGGGATTTTTGCGGTAAGTGTTAAATATGCTTATTAATTAATGCCGCAAAATATCCGCAAAAATCCAACAAAATTAAGCGCCTAACGCCGCAAAAATTCGAAATCGCGTGGGAGTTTGATGTTTGCTTGTTAACCATAAATTAAGCGACCACAAACAATTGCCCTTGTTAGCTTCACAACGCGCATTTATTAATAAAATAAATTATCTAAAAAAAAATTATTGCAATTGTTAATGAAAAGAAAAAAAGGACAACAAAATCAAATACAATAAACATACTTATTTGATCGGTTTAAATTGGCCTTTGAGCTGCTATCTTAAATGGAATTTAAGTAAACAAGCGTAACAAATGAGTTGCATATGTAAACTCGCTTTTGTATATTTTGTATTTAAATTGAAGCCCTTTGGTGATTTTGTTTTTATTTACATTTTCAAAAGAAACGAGGCTTTTTGATTATTTCCTAATTAATTTTCTATATTTGCTGACATATTATAATTACTGCTTTTACATTCATAATTCAATTTTAAACAAATTTTTAAATCCCATTGCCTCTAAATGATTGTCAAATATTTTAGGGCACATATTTTTCCTTCTATTTTTTTAGGCCTGTTCACCGCATTAAGTTGGTTGTGGATAGAGGTGAACAAATTACTTCAATGGCTCATAGGCTTTTATTAACTCAAATAATGATGGAAACTTAAATGCAATAATGTAGAAGGGCATCTAAGCAATTTTTTGGCATAGGTTTTACTACAACTGAGCACAGACCCTCGAAGATATCTTAAATCAAAAAAATAAATGTTGCTACTTTTTTCAAACCGCGATTGCACAAATACCACCCGTTAAACTCGAAAACTAAGTATGCAGATATGCTTATATCCGTCTATATTAACACAATTTAATGTGCAATAGGGCTGCACCAAAAACACAGTTGGCCTGTGTTATCTGACACTTCATCAATGTTATAAAATTTACTTAACGCTGCCTGAAACGTTCCTTTAAGTTTGCATTTTTTTTTTAAATTTCGTTCTGAACTATGATTTTTTGACCCTAACTTTTTGTATTTCTTGTACAGTTTTTCTTTGTTTAAATATTGCCTTAGAAGAATAGATTTCACTTAGCCTCAAACGATTGTGCCATTACATTTACCTACAGTATATGAATATCTAATTTCTCCTTTGACTTTACTTGTTGTATTTATTTTATAATTTATGTTACAAAGAAACTTTGTTTTTGCAGAAATCATCAAAAGACATTTTTGCTTGAAATGCAGGTGATATTTATTTGAAAAATTGTCAGTTTTGATTTCATTAACACCTCAAGCCAGAAATGTTTGTTTCATTTACATATTATGATGTGGACATTTTATTTTTCCTTTTTAAATTCGTAGACGAAGGTATAGATTTATTTTCTCAAGTAATTTGCATTTATTTGTTAAAGCCAGGATTTAATATCAGTTTACACCTTTTGCCAGTTGACAATTTTTGAATCCGAATGATGGGCGAAATTTGCTTTGGATTGGATTTTCCTTGGCCAGGATGCTAATGCAGCTGTGTTGGTGGTAGCGTATCTGTGTGTGGACACACGAAGTATCTATGTTTGTCCCCCTGGTTGGGTTTTGGCTGTTTGGGGAGTGCGTGTGGGACAGCGTGCGTGTGAATGCGAATGCGTTATATTCCGCCCAACTGTGCAAAAACAATTCGCGCGCCACTTTGCGCCATAAAAAAAGCCCTGAGATATTTAATACATATACAGAAACACACAGTGACATAGATATATGCATATACGTATGCATGCAGGACGGCGAAAGCCGAGCGAAACGCAACCAAAAACCCATTTTTGCATTTAAAGTTTTGGCCATTTTATTGCTCCGGCCCGTTTTGCGGGTAATGGCAAAAAGTATCCTTAGCCGAGGTCCTTCCATGTTGTTTCAATTTCGCCTCCCCAATTTTTTCTGTCCGCCACTTTTTTTTGGGCTTTATTTTTTGGCGGTCGTCGAATGCCCCAGTGAAATATGATAAAAGTCAGACGCGACGCGACGCAACGCGGCCCTCCGCTGCGGCGCTTTGCGTTATGATTTGTGTTGCTGACCCCAAAAATAAGAAAAAAATAGGGGGACACGAAAAAAAACACAAAAACACAGGGAAAAGCTGTGAAAAAATTTTGATTTTTTAAGTCCTCTGATCCTATTTCTTGAACCTTTAACGTGTGTTTTCATATAACTAGATATAAATAATATGTAAGTATTTATTTTCAATTATAAAAGTCCCCTACAATAGAGTTTGCACAGATTTCGCAAGCAAGCTTACTTAGCTTATTGCTTATTGTGAGAAAATGTTAACTACAGCCACACTGGCTGAGAGTTATTTATCGTTCTTACGTTTGGCTTATTTCATAATTAAACATAAAGACATAATATTCTTCTTTAGTACCTACAATTAATTTAAATTAAATTACAATTAAATTTGTTTTATTTTTAATTTGAAATCGATATGAGTAACGCATAAAGCAATAGTTTTTCTTTGTAGCATTAGGATATGAAGTAATAAATAAATAATAAATGAAACCACCTAATGGTAATTTAAAGGAGTATAAAATCGCCGCTAAGCGAAATAATTTTTTCAAAGCTTACCTTTTATTAAGACATTTACGCAATTCACATTCACGGAAATGTGAAACATACATCAGCGTATATCAATCTAAAGCGAAAGCTACAACAAGCCATGAATAACCATCAAGGTCTATTTTTCCCTGGCTGATTTAGTGACTTGGGGAGATTTCCGCGAGATTTTCCGGCCCCACTTGGGACTGGGGAGCACCAGCGGAATATCAAGGATGCTTATCGACAAATAAATTCTTTACCCTGTCAAATGCCCTGCAGCAGCCCAAGTGGGCGGCCCAGCGGTGGTATATGGCTGGATATAATAAATAGCCTGACATAGTAATGCCACAGACACTAACTCACAACTGTCGCCCTGTTGTTGTTGTTGGGGGCCTTCGAGTCCTCGACCGAAAAGTTGACGCCTATAAAACGGATATGGATGTGCACCAAACTGTGGCATACTTTTCAGCCACCCACTGCCCACTGCCCTTTCCTTGCCGTTCCAAACGCTCCGAAAGTGTTGACAAATTTATGAGCTTGTTTTGCTTTTTCACAATTTTTGTTCGGCTGATTGAAAGTTTTCTTTATTTTCGCCGCCGGGCAAATTGATGACAATTGAAGAGAGAGGGCCAGACAGCTTAATCGTTCGTGTTCTATATTTAGATAGATTTTAATAAAGGCTTTGATTGATTGAAGGGCCCAAACACATTGCAGCTGTAATGGCTGAATCACATTGGCGCACAGTCACACTGTTTTTTTTTTTGTTTGTTCCCATTGAATTGGCCACACTTGTTTCTTGTATAATCAGTGAAATATTTATTTATTGCTTTGGAATCGTTAACAATTAATCCGCACACTCTTGCTGTGCTATATATTCTTTGAAAAAGTGCAAAAAAAAATTCTGTAAAACCAATTTGCTTTGCTTGGGCGCACGATGGCCACACTGGCGCACTGCTTAGTTGCGCCTGGCGTCACAGTTGTCGACGAGGCTGGCCAGACGGCAGGTCTTCAGCTCGCGATCGAACCAGAAGCCGCTGGGGCAGGACACGCGCCTCGACCTCTGCCGTTGGCAAATGTAGTAGCGGCGGCAGTGACGCACATCGGCCAGGAAGGTGCCATCCTCCTCGCCACGGCAATCGTGGCGCGAGATCAGCACCGAGGCAACTTTGGCGACACCATTGATGTCGTGTTCCGTGTCTCCAACCACGTTGGTTCCATTGTTTCCGGGATTCAGCGGGTTATTGGGTGGGCAAGGTTCGGTGGTGGTGCAAGGTGGGGTGCAGGTTGTAGTCGTGGTGCAGGGTGGAGTCCGGGTGCAGGGTGGCGTCCTGGTGCATGGAGGAGTCCTGGTGCACGGCGGCGGGGTCCTGGTGCATGGTGGTGGGGTCCTGGTGCAGGGTGGTGGAGTCCTAGTGCACGGTGGTGGGGTCCTGGTGCACGGCGGAGGGGTACAGGTGGTGGTGGTGCATGGCGGTGGTGTGCATGGAGGAGGGGTACAGGTGGTGGTGGTGCATGGAGGTGGGGTGCACGGAGGTGGGGTGCAGGTGGTGGTCGTGCATGGAGGCGGGGTGCAGGTGGTGGTGGTGCACGGTGGCTCCGGGGTACAGGTGGTGGTGGTGCACGGTGGCTCCGGGGTGCAGGTGGTGGTGGTGCATGGAGGCGGTGGGGTACAGGTGGTGGTGGTGATGCACGGATCCGGTTCTTGCCTAGGTGGATGGGCCAGAACTCCCCGGGTGCCGGCGATCGCGGCCAGACCGAATGTAATCAGCAGCAAGTGGTCTGCAAAGGGCACAGAAAAAAAAAGAATAGATCACTGAGTTGAGTTGTCCTTATCGAAGGATAATTGTTGGTATGCGAGGACCGGAGCTACCCACAAACTCTCATGTTGCGTTCGACGATGGTGCTTGTGCTACTGCAGTTTCTACTTCTCTGCCGGATGACGAATGTTTTTCGCTTCAATCGGGTCGCTTTTTATATCGCTCCGCAGTGGGGACTTTATCTGGGGAGAGCACTTGAGATCGGTCAAGTGGTACACGGGCCATGATCCCCGAGGCTCTCGGCACTCTGCTAATTAACCGAATCGCACGAATCGTGCAGGCTTTTGGGGTTCCGGTTGGTGTTCATGTAAATGTAAACAGCCTGTTTTTCAACTCACAAGTGCAATGTTTTTTTCGCTGTTTGCTTATGCCACTCTTGTGAAAATTCCACGGGCTGTATATTCCCTTAATATTCCTATTCTGTGAATAGAATTAAATATTTAATATAATTTGGTCATCATCTTGTATGGGAATATATATTTTATTATTGTGTTAAATGCTGTTTTATTGTGTTTATTAATACCTATCTAAATGTGGAAGAAAATTTTCAAATCGGACAATCAAAGAAGTCGGTTTTCTGCATGCATATCTCCATCTTCCTCTTTAGCTGAGTAATGGGTATCTTTTTTCTATTTCCTATGAAAATTATCAGATCTTATAAAAATAATAAAAAATCTTAATCATATAATTTGACATCTTGATTTCCAAAATCCAAAATCATTTTGCCCAGTGAGCGCCATTCGAACATACACTGATGGTATTGACATTTGGCTCGGGTCATTTGGCCATTCCATATTCCGTACGCAGTCTGTAAAATAGTTGAAATTGCCTGTTAACTGATTTCGCAGGCCCTGCCCCTTTTTGGCCATTGCGCCTTGACTCCGGGCCAGTGCAAACAAGAGATTTCGGTTTATGGCCCCGGCCCGGAAGTGTTAGGCCAAGCGGCCAAGTGGACAAGTGGCCAAGAGCAGACGAGGGGACAAGTGTCGGCCATTTGGCAGCCGATAAAAATGGCAAAGAGCCTAAGGGGGCGGCGTGTGTGGGTGTGAGTATATGGGTATGGGTAATAATTTCCCCCTTCCCATGCAACGAAACATACCCTTACCTCCCAAACCAACCTTTCCGCGCCGCTGTAAAAACAAAGAAAAAAACAAAAAAATAAAGACCGCCATATCCCCGTGTGGCCCGCATGTCCTCGACAGCCGAGGGGCCGGGGAAAAAGCGCCGGACAGTTGGCAAAAGTTTTGTAATTAAATATGGTTGTTGCAGTTAAGATTTATGAGCGATTTTCATACCAATGGGGGAGTTTTATGGCCGAAATGAACAGGCATTCAATGTTTTGCCACTTCAAAATAAATTAAGTCAATAAGCTCTTGGTATTTCATAAATATATTGGATTTATTTATATTTAACAATATTAATAAAAAGTTTAAAAATTGAAAAAAAATATTTGCGGAACTTAAATGTTTTTTTAAATGAGGTTTAATTTTTAGAATAAGTAAATATCTATTAATAATAAATAAATAAATCTTTTAAAATTAATATTAATGAAAAATATATTTAACCATATTAATGTGAAATGTTTTAAAATCAATTCCCTTTTTTAAAAAAATCAAAAGTTTAAAAATATGCAGAAAATATTTTACAAAATTAAATCAAATACTAAGTTTTTTATTAACATGACACCCTGCCGTTTTCATTTGCTTTCAAGCTTTTGACAATGCACCGAGGAGCAAACAAAGTGGCGATGACACAAATCTGGCCACATTCACCCGCATCCGGCGACATCCTTCAATCCCACCCAGTGTCCTTTGAACCTTCGCCCGGCGATCGTAAATAATTATTTATTTAAAGTGTAGAATATTTCCAAACGGCATAAGCAAACAGAATCAATTGTTGTCGCATTGGAATATTTATGCATTTATGCACGCATTTACATTCCGACATCTGTTGGGCTTTCGAGGTGCCTTTTTTGGAGTTTTTTTTACTCTTTCGGACTTTTTTTTGAGTTGGGTATTGGGTTTTGTTGAAGCTGCAAAATTATTATGTGAGCTGAGTTTTAATTTATATTCAAAGTGTTGAGTGTTTTAAAGCCCGCATAAGCCCGAAACTTTCATTCGTTATGGTTCAATTGGATTGAGTTTAATTCACTTTGTTTCATTCACTTAGCACTCGTAAAGCTACACCCTCGCCTCGCCAACAAACACGACTTGGCCATTTGCCGAGCAAAATTACTCATACGCAGTGTGTGATGTGAATATTAAAAAGCAGCAAAGTTTATGATAAATCCGCCTTTCCTCCACTTTCCTCAGCGAGAAGTGTTTATGTACTATATACGTATACATATAAATATATATATGAATAGTTGGCGAAACAATCTCGGATTATGAATGAACTTTGGCCAGTTGGTTTAGACGGGGAGATATGCACAAAATAGTTGAGTTTCTTCGAGATTATGAATGAATCACTTTGCGGCTAAAAAGTTGGCTGTGATTTAAGCGATAGCCGAGAAACTTTCTAGACGAGAAAGTGGTTCGAAAGTTTAAGGAGCTTAATCATTACCGAGGATTTCCGCATTATTTCCATCGCCTCTTTGGTTTGGCTATAAATTTATAATAAATCTATGTTTATGTTACAAAATACCCGATCTTAAAGGCCATATTATAGAACATCTTTTTGTGATTTTTTGCAACCCAATTTCCCTTTTTTTGTGCTTCCATTAGCCACAAAGTTGACTTTTACTTGCAGTTTCTTATCGAATTATGTGGCAAATTGAATGTAAAATATATATTCTGCATATTCCCGTGCCAACCCAATTATTTACCTGGCTTCTAAGAGTGGCAGCTTCACCTCAGGCTTGTCGGGTGGGACTTTTTCACTTATCTCCGGACCAGCGACGACCATCTCAATGAATTAGTCGAGCAACATAAATTAAGCACTTAACTGTTGTAAAGTTTTTCCTTAAGCGAAGCTTCGGCTTCAGCTTCCTTCCGTAAAAGATGACCTCGCCCAACAAAAGACAAACACAGACACGGCTCAATGGAAATGGCCATCTTTCTTCTCACACCACAGCAACCGGAGGGAGGGGGACCGAGGCCCGAGAGATGAAGAATGGGAAATTAAATTAAGCACACACACATGCCTGTTTGTGCTAGGAAGGATTGGATTTAAGGACTGTTTGTGCAAGGACATTGTATCAACAATTTCTAGGGCTCCAGTGTGTGTGCTACGAGGCATTGTAAAACTCATTAGTGAAGTGACCGGAAATCTTATGAAATCTACAAAAAACGTAAGAAACAAAGTAACAACGAAACCGAAAATAAAAGACAAGCTAAAAGGCTTCAGCTTGCTCTGCACCAAAAAAAAATGTGAGTGGAATATTTAGAAGGAAAAAATAATTGGGTTGTAAAATCTAATATACCATATAAAAGTCTGCTCAAAAGAAAACGGGAAGTATCCTAAATCACGCAGTACGATGTCCGGAAAACATGTTTTTATTAACAGCTTTAAAATTTTATTGCCCTTGTTCAAATTTATCTGGAAATTATGTTAGAGACAAGATATTTTGAGACATTTTTTTAAGCACAAAAAAATAAATAATTATTCAAATAAAATTATTAAATTTTTTATATAGTATTTAAACTTTGATTTGAAGCGTTCTGTATCTATATTTTCTCTCAATGTGGACGAGGACTCTTCAGGGCGGTCGAGTGGGTGGTGGCCTGTGACAGGTTGGAGCAGTCATGCATGTACTTCAATTTTTCAGCAGAAATGAGTGCACATTTGACAAAACACACACTCGCTCACACCTTTCGGTGAGCCCAGGAGCCAGCCGAATCCCTGCAGGACATATGTCCTGTCCCTACCCCCTTCCCCTTTTCCTTATCCCCCTCCCCACTTTACATGCTTTTTTTTTATCAGCTGCCGCTTCGAGCGGGCCAAAATCCAGGCACGAAAATATATGAAAACTTTGCACAAATATGTATGTCCTGTCCGTATCCGTGTGTCCGTTTGTCCGTGTGTGTGCGTGCTGCCGCCTGGGTATGGGTGTGTCTATGGTAGCCTAATTCCAGCTCATATTTTATAACAGCAGCAGAATCACTGCATCGGACTACACGGTTTTCTGCCAAGACAGCAAAATAAACCAACAGACAGCAGAAATAAAAAATAAAAAAAAAAGAGCGGAGGAGACCGAAAAAAATCTGTAAACAAGACGGACAGGGAACAAACTGTGGGGAAACTACACACGTGAGAACCGGGAATGGGTTAAAGGCGGGGGCTATAGTGGGTTAAGAAAATCCACAGAATGAATAGCGAACACGAACACGACGAACTCTGTCACATTTTCACTCAACTAGAAAACGTACATGATCTGTCGAAAAACAATGCCTCCTTTGGCTATCAATACCCCCAAAGATCAATAATAAGTATATTATCAATATTTAATAGTAATTTTTATGAACTCAATTGCAAATATAAATAGAAAAAGAAGAGAGCAACTTGGTAATTTAATAATCCGATTTGGATTTAACCACACTAAAATATTAAAAGCTTCAATTTGTTTCTTTTAATCATATGAAAATTTCATTTAGTTTTGAATCTATTATGGAAATCACGAATTTTATATTAAGCCCTAACAATTAGTTGACAATGAGCCAGCTAAACAAGTGCACTGTAAAAAAGGCGACATAAATGAACTAAGGGAAAAATGCATTTTAATTGGTAGTAAAATATCCAGTTAAAGTTAAATTTCGGGGTCCCACAAATTCAGCCAACTAAAATGAATGTTTTCTTTAAAAAAAACTAAACTTATGAGCTAGCGTTTTAAAAAATATTCTTTTGTTTTATTTCATATTGCTGGCATACACAATTTTTCTATGCCATTATTATTCATTATTGGCAACAAAGAGTTTGACCAAAGTTTCGCTTAAAATAGCCATAAAAACAAACGCAACAATAACAATAAAAATGAAAAACATAAAGAAAATATTACATTTTCTATATGCATATATATATTTAAGTTTTGTATAATTTCAGTACATATATATTTCGAGCACACTTTTGTATGGCAAAAGTTTGAAGAACTTTTCTTTCAGGACGGCCACTCCCACCTGCCCCCTGCCACGCCCACTTTTTTCCCACCGACAAGCCTTGCAAATTGTTGAATAATTGCAG